CCAACAAGAGGACAAGACCAGATAGGTCAGATAGGACATAACCCACTGCATGAGGTAAATTACGCACCTATTTCTGAGAGAAACCCCATATTTTCCCCGGACTTCATCGACTGGGAGATACGTCACAGCGGGACGATGTTCAAGGATGCTAGGGAGAAATGACTCGCAATGGCACTTCCTTTTCAGGGTCGCGCGCAGTGGTGCACATTCGGCCTTTGTCCGGCAATTGTCAAAAGCTTCGATAATTTTGATAAAATATGCAGTCGGGACCCGTTCCGACGCACACACAACTCTTACTGGAGGTACGTCGAATACATACACACTGGAGGCACTTGAGGCGACATTCATCTCATAGCCCCCTTCAGCTCAACCCCTTGACGGATGACAAGGAACTCCCACGGTCCACGGATCAGCCGGGACCAGATTACGAAAACTTCCTGGTCAGCGAGGTTTTCCGTGGGCAAACACGGATACAGCGCGCGCTGAGTTTACATCCCTCCCATCGGCAATAACGCGTACGGATAGCAGGCAACCGTTAAAACGCGCAGATAGCAGAGGGTTATTTGGCCTCTCTGCCCTGGTCGAACCGGCAGCCTTTTGCGGGTCGGCTGTACCCGTTTTCTCACCACGAAAGAATTGTGAGGCGGTCGGTCAGCCGGTCTTTCAGGCGCAGTGCGTCGAAAGCGGAGATCGGCGGCTCCATGACTCGTCTGGCATTGGTCTATCTCAGGGTCTCGCTCTGCACGAATCCCTGTTGTTGCGGGACCCTCCCTGGGGTGTCTCGAAGTAAAACACCATCGGGTGAGGATCCGGTCTTCTGCCCGTACCAACGGAAGCGGTTCCGACCTCCTCCGACGAAAAAAAAACCTGGCCCGCCGTTTCTGCGCCACCGCGAGCAGCATCAACGGCGGCGCATGAGTCTGGAGAGCCGCCGCGTGACCACCACGATGACAACAGTTAGCCCAAGCGCCAGACTCACTGATGTCACTGTCGGATGCTTCCCGCGTGTCTGGAGACCGGTGGGAACGTGTGAACTTGAATGCAGTGGTGACGCTTATTTTCCGCTTCCCCATGGGGAGCGCAGAGACAGTTGAGATGACGGCGTGGTCGTGGAGAAACTGTTACGTACAAAGAAGAATGCGCTGCCACCTTGCCCGGTCTAAGCGACCAGAGCGTGTGCCACCAGTGTCGCCAGATTAGTCGGCGAAAAATACGGACTCTAATGCAGAGGCCGCCGCGCATTGTCGTGCAGGAGCACATGTTCGCGGCCTTTTTTCTTCCAGAGGAAAGCCTGCGCGAGTGGCGTGGGCTGTCTCTAGATATGATAAACAGATACTTCTATAAGGGAAGACGCGATTGGCCTTTCTTAGCCTTCTACTAACGCAGTGCTGGGAGGGTTGTAATGGCTCGCTACTGATATCGGATGAGCCGCGGCGGCTCTAATGAGACACTACGCTAGTTTGAGTGTGGCAGACTGACTTGTCATGTACATGGCAGATGCCAACACGGAGCACGGAGAACGAAGCCGTTCGTTCTCTTCCCCCGCATTCGACCGGCCGAGGCGTCTGTCAGTTGTTTCGCTTCATTGGCAGAGACTCTTGTTGTTTCCACCGTCGGAGAGATACCTATCGCTACTTCTGCACTCTGACAACATGGGTGCGTGTCTTTAGCCCCCGAAAACCGACATACGACCGGCCCTCCGGATGCATCGTCGTGCTCGTCGACAAGAGGAACATTGACTGTTATCTTCAAAGGGGTATCTTGCAGGCAACTGATACCTCTTAGCTGCGTCCGTTATCGGGCATAACGGCCGGATAGTTAACACATACATAGTGCACATCGTGCTTTATCACCGACGCAGTCTTTGGGACTAGATAGCATGCGGAACTTAGTGCAGATAAGCCCCCTAGTCAGTGCCCAGCAGAAGGGAAAAAAATTAGTTCTCCACCACGGAATCGCTACCCCGCGTTTCTGGTTCCACGATAGTCGTCACGTCACCCTTTGAGGCTCGCACCACCGTCGCGTGTCCAAAGACTGTATCAATATCTCGGTTTGATTGAATTTTCCTTCTTTGGGAACAGGTTTTGCTGTCTTGTGTTATTGGAACGGCGCAATGGAACCCGGGACTGGACGCAACAAGGTTACGAAAAGATCTTCAAACGCGTGAGTTCGGCGTTCTTCGGCGCGTCTGCCGGCCGACTTTCTGGGCCGCTCCGCTGACCCTCTGTTGGACAGGTGTGTAAGATGTCGGAGGCAAAAGATCAAGTGTTCGGGGTCGCAGCCATGCGATGCATGCGGCAAGCGCAAACAGTCCTGCACATTCGATGAGCGCGACCAGAGGATAGTGGTCACCAGAGGGTAAATCTCATCTCACCGTCCGCTGAAGAATTAAACACCCACTTACACGGCCGCTCCAGTTATATCATCGACTTACAGCAGCGGATCGAACGATGGGAACGCAGCAAGAGCACCAATGAGCCGGCGCGGGACTCGATCGAAGGCGGCCAGGCTGCCGACAAAGTCGAGAGTGGTCTGTTATCTCTGGCTTCTCATCCGAAATGAGCAAACTAACTCCCTTGCAGGGTCTGAGAGCGATGTAAGCATGGCAGGGGCGGAAGGTCCAGACTCAACCCAACCTTCGAGAGGCACTGAGAAGCAGCAGGACGCCCACCCCAAGCCGCCCATGGACCCGGTGGCCTCGACGCTCATCAACCCATTGTCTACTGGGCAGTCGGAGTTTATGACAGCGCCGACAGGAAGGATATGTTAGTTATTCCCAAAGCACATCGACTTTACAGGTCATTGACAGCCATGCAGTCTACTTGGGAACATCGTCCAACTGGTCCTTCACACGCCGCGTCCTCAACATCACGCATCAATACATCAACAAAACCCCTCTGCCCACGAGCGCACTCATCTTCGATGCCGCGGCCTACACCCTCGATTGGGATGGCTACCGCATTGGGGAGGGCCCCGAGATGCCGGCTCTCCCAACGCAGGACTATGCCATCTACCTGGTCAACGCAGTGAAGTTTCACTGCAGCCAAATGTTCCACCTCTTCGACGAAGAGTCCTTTATGAAATCCCTCTACCACTTTTACTCAGACCCAAATCCAAGGGCTGACCCCACGGACCTATGGTTCATCCATTTCCTTTTGATACTCGCCTTTGGAAAGGCATTCACGACGAAGGCCAACAGAAGTCGAAAGCCCCCAGGCCACGACTATTTCATCAAAGCTGTACAGCTTCTCCCCGACCTTAGCGTTCTGCTGAAGCAAGCTGCTCTCTCGACAGAGATTCTCTGCTCACTTGCACTGTACATGCAATGCGTCGACTTTCGGCATGCCTCCCACAACTTCATCGGCCAAGCCATACGCATGGCCTTGGGTGAGGGCATGCACACAGACATGCCGACGCAAGTGCTGGGAGAGGCATACGTCGAGAGGTGTCGAAGGATCTGGTACACAGCACACATTCTGGATCGAGAGATGACGTCCCTTTTCGGTCTTCCGCCTTCAATCCACGATGATTATGTGCAGTGTCGACTGCCAACATATTCTGGTTCGTCACAAAGGACTGCGGCCTTGCGGATGAGGATAAAACTGTCCGAGGTCATCGGCAGTATTAACAGAAGTAAGTTGTTCACTCGATAATTACCAGAATTCAAGCTGACCAAGTTCCTCAACAGAAGTGTACGGTCGAGACGGTAGACTCAACAATAAGTTCATGTTGGGGACTAAAACCGTACTGGAAAGCATGGCACATGTCGCCAACGACCTTCAACAGTCCTTCGCGCTCCCGCTCGAGAGGGATACAAGCTGCATCTCCAGGACATCGGCCCATTTACACCTACTACATCATCAGGTTAGTCGTTCTAAAAGTCATTTGCTGGTCATAAGGTAAGCTAACCAAACCTCTTTTCCAGTGCATTGTCCTTGCCACAAGACCGTTGCTATTTTGCTTCTTGAAGATCCGATTCGAATCCGAGAGTAAATGCACCGAGCTACTGGGATCATCTCAGACGGTGCGAAATTTGATACAAATGTGCATGGACTCTTCCCAACAAATGATTGCGATTCTGGACTGCCTACAGTCGCAGGGTCTTTTGGGTAAGTCGTGTCGCAATCGAGTATTTCTGTATTACAATCTGACACGGACCTCCAGAAACCTTCCTTCCATTTGACTTGGAGGCGATCTTCGTCTCTACGGGAAGTCTATTGCTGGGACCCGCAATCGACCCGCAGGCCTTCGAAGGCGTGGTTCCCTCGCTCGAAAAGGCGTACGCTGTTTTTGATGAAATGATCGCCGCTGGGAATGCGGTGGCAAATTTCCAGAAAGCAGAGCTGCAACAACTCGAAATCATGTTGCAACAGTTGACACATACACACCCACAGCCAGCAGCAGATGACTCCGGCGCGGCGAATGAGGCGCCATGTCAACAGCAGCAGCAGCAAATAGCCGACGACACGAGCCCTCATGATACAGTGATTTCCTCGTTGGCTACGGATTTGTCCCAGAATGAGAGCTATACCTCGTCGCTGCCGGGGAATCTGGAGGAAATGACTTTTGATAGCGGCCTGACCATGACTCAATTGCTGGATATGGCGAATTCGATAGAGCACGAGGATACGGAATGGATGTCACAAACAATTGTCGAGCATAGCATTTGGTAGTCTGGTTGAACAACAGCGATTTGACTTTTCTCTCCCACATGAAGACCACAATATGCATGATGTCTGCAGGATAGGACTTTGCGTAACGTACGGGATCGCCTCAAAGTCTCCCAACCCCATCGAGACCTTCCGTTTCTGTCTCTCAGCTGCCCCCTGATTGCTCAACCTCTGTGGGCCTGGGGCGCCACGACTCGTTTCGGCTCCTCGGCGACCCCGAGGCTCGGGTACATATGCAGCATCAACAGCAGACGGTCGATCACACCTCATTCTCAGCTTGACAGGTTGGAAGTATCAAAGTACACAATGCTATTATTAACTACATATCTTCTACAACTTGGAGGCCTTGGGGTTCTGCAGCTCTGCAAACTCCATGGTGTTTCCGAGACGCCAGCTGACAGTGTCTCCCCACTTGCCGTCATCGCCGCCGACGTCCTTCCAGCGCCACTTGTCAACGGGTTGCTTCCCGTCCGCGGCCTCGAGCAGGTTCTTCACCCAGTCTCCGATCAGGGGGATAAGCTTGGCGGCGTGCCCGGAATCACCAGACATCAACACCACCGACGAGCTCGATTTGGGGACGTAGTCGATGATGAAGTCCGAGTCATTGGTGTCGGCAAACCAGCAGAGAGACTGCTTCACCAGAGGCCTGTCGGCAAGCTCTGGCAGCGTCTCTCGGAGCAGCTGCCGCACCTTCTCCTGGTCGTGCAGGGGCATGAAGGCGCTCTCGGCATGTGAAGGCGGGAGTGAGACACCGGTCTTGGGATCCGTGTTCACGTACCCACCGCCCATGGGGCACAGCTTGAGGAGGTTGGTCTTCGGGTCAGGCTCGAAGTAGAAGCCGTAGTCGCGGGCATAGGTGACGGGGATGCCACGCAGGGCGGATGTCTCGTCTTCAGTGAGATGGACGTGTGCAACGGACCACGACTTGGCGACCACCTGCTTGCCGCACTCTGGCACCAGCCGCGCGGCAGCAGCGCCGACTGCGACGATAACGAGCTTCGCCGGTACATGGCGGCCCTGCTGCGTCCTGATACCGGTGGCTTTCCTGCCTCCCGGGGTGTTCTGGTAAACAATCTCCCTCACGCCGCCGTGCTGGCCGAGGAAGTACTTGACGCCTCGTACCTGCGTCGCCTTGTACAGGGCGATCAGGGCGTTCCCAGAATGGACGTACCCATCAAACGTGTTGAGATAGCCCTTCCACCCGGAACAGTGTCCGGCCTTGTACTGCCAGACGTTCTCCTCAATGTCCTTGCCACCTTCGATTGGGATAACATGCTTAGCCAAGACCGGGTTGATTTCCGCGGCCTTTTGGAATCTCTTGAGCGTCTCAATGGCCCTGTCAGGGGCCTTACCCGAGACACAGTGAAGAAAGCCGACCTGATGGAAATGCGGCGCAAAAAGTGGCGTCTTCCAGGCCTTGATAGCTTCCTATTGCCCGAGAGTAAGCCTTTTAGTGTATCAGCTCATTTCGGAGGATGCAACTTACGAGGGTAAGATCGGTGTAGAACGGGTCCTCATATTCCGCCCTCAGAATCTTGTTGATGTCATTGGCGGCAGAGTCTTGCGGGGGTATTGTCTCGTGCTTGTCGTAAACAGAAATGTCCGTGTATCCCGCCAGGGTGAGGTGATAGGCCGTCGAGAGGCCGAAGGCGCCGGCGCCGACGATGATGATAGGATCGGACTTGCTGATACCCATGGTGATAATACTGAGAAGCGCGTGTTGAAGCTGATGTACTAGACTCCAAGGGAATCTTTGCTACGGGTGAAATTTGCTCCTTATGATGTATGTAACGTCCAGCGGCCGTCTAAGCCGTTCAGTCCACCGCCGGTTCCGTTCGGGAAATGGACCGGCTTCGGACCCATGGTTGCGGTGTTGCGGTGAAGCTATTCCCGGACAATGCGGGGGACCGAGTGACGGGCCAACGTGATCTTACGACGCTGACCACGTCGGCTGGTCTCCCATGTGGCGGTCGAGACCACGCGTATCGAACCGGTTGCTCGAGACGGGTGCTGAACCGCATATCTTCACAATCGTCATGAACACAGTCGGAAGCACTTCCGACTTATTGAAATCATTGTCATTGGCTGAACGGGCCGATGTGGGGCTGGAGTATCGGCATCGGGACCTCGACCCGTGTTCTCATTGTCCAAGGCAGGCCCTCTTCCCCAGACCCCAGACACGATGACCAGGTGTTTGCCTGGAGATGGGATCACGGTACGTACTGTTGAGTCCGGAGACAAGCGATGGCAGAGTTCGGTCCGCGTGGTCCTTCGCAGAAGACAGCAATTACGAGGAAATAGAGACGAACATTACGGAGGACATTCTTCAGCAAACGAAGGCTGCATCTGTTGGTGTGGTCCCTGTCGCCCAACAAGGCTTGACCAACGCATAATCGCGGGCCATTTTCATCCGTACTTTACATGACTCTCCGGCATAAACGTGCTGACAATGACAATTTGGCTGACTACAGCGTGTTTACCCTGCCCTGCACAGCGCCCGACTAGGCAAGCCAACAGTCGGATCAGCCCAGTTGAAACTTGAAGAATGGAGCACTATGAAGCTCGAGGGTGATGCTTGTGATGGGTCGGTAATCATCAATGTCATTGGACTACTGAATAACTCTCTAAATTACATATTTCGCCTATCCCGAATGCACATGCCACCAGGCCCCGTCACGCCATTTTTTTCAACCACCCGTGCGCGATTTTTATTTGTTGCTGGGGTACTCGAAGTCGGTCAGGGGGAAGAACTCCTCCTTGATCAATCTCGGGCTCGTGAAGCGTCTCATGACGTCAGCACTGCCGGCCTTGTCGTTGGTTCCGGAGCTACGGGCACCGCCGAAGGACTGTTGGCCGATGAGGGCGGCGGTGGTCTTGCAGTCTGGAGAAGAAATGGGTTAATACTCTGGCGAAGACGATCAAGTATGGGAAGATTGTGAACTTACTGATGTAGAAGTTGCCGGCAGAGTAGCGCAGGGTGTCCTCCGCCTCGCGGATGGCGGTGCGGTCCTTGGCGAACACGGCGCCGGTGAGGGCGAAGCCGCCGCCACCCTGGTCGACCTTCTTCAGAGTGGAGGACCACTCGGCGTCGGGGTAGATGTTGACGGCCAGGACGGGGCCGAAGATCTCCTCATTGAAGAGACGGTGCTCGGGGGAGTCGGCGAGGTAGACGGTCGGGTTGACGTAGTATCCGTTGGAGCCATCGTAGGTGCCGCCGACGAGCAGCTTCAGAGAGGGGTCCTTGTTGCTCTCGTCGATGATGCGCTTGATCTTCTCGAACGAGCGGTCGTGGATGACGGGGCCCATGAAGGCGTTGAGGTTGCCGTCGGGGCTGCCGATGGTGATCTTCTTGACGTTCTCGGTCAACTTGGACAGGAACTCGTCGGCGCGGGACTGGGGGATGTAGACGCGGGATGTGGCAGAGCACTTCTGGCCCTGGTACTCGAAGGCGCCGCGGAGGGTGTGGAGGGCGGCGCTGTCGATGTCGGCGGAGGGGTGGATGAGGTGGAAATTCTTGCCGCTGGTCTCGCCGACGATCTTAGGGAAGTCGCGGTAGGTCTTGTTGCCGATGCCCTCGCCGATCTTGGCGTACAAGGAGCGGAAGACGTCAGAGGAGCCGACGAAGTTCAGGCCGGCGAATTCGCGGTGCTTGAGAACGACATCGGTGACCTCCTCGGCGTCGCCGGGGACGAACTGGATAACGTTGGGAGGGAGGCCGGCCTCGAGAAGGATGTTGTAGACAAGTTGGCTGGCGTAGATGTTGCTGGGCGAAGGCTTCCAGAGCACGACGTTACCCAAGAGCGCGGGACCGGAAATCAGGTTGCCACCGATAGCGGTGAAGTTAAAGGGGGATACGGCGTAGACGAATCCCTCGAGAGGGCGCCACTCCAGACGACTAATTATGAGTTAGTTATGGTAGGCAGAAAACGGTTCATGTGTGCGTAGTCGCTTACCTCCACATGCCGTCGGATCCACGTTCAGGCTGCTTCTCCAAAATCTCAGCAGCAAAGTTGCAGTTAAGTCTGAAGAAGTCGGCCAACTCAGCAGCCGCATCGATCTCTCCCTGCCACATGTTCTTGCCCTGGCCGAGCATAGTAGCGGCAATAAGCTCATATCTGTACTTGGTGACGACCAGCTCGGCGGCCTTCAGGAAGATCGCCGCCCTGTCGACGAAAGGTGTGTTCTCCCAGCTCTTCTTAGCCTCCAGCGCGGAGTCGATAGCGGCAGCAACCTGCTCCTTAGACGCGAGAGGGAAGTTGGAGAACTTCTTGCCGTGCGCGTGGGGCATAACGGTGTCGAAAGACTTGGAGGCGGAGTGAACCTGGCCATTGTAGAAAAGGTCGCTGCGTGCGGGGAGTTCAGACTTGAGCTTGTTCAGGGCCTCCTCCAACTTGGCGCGCTCAGGCGAGCCTTTCCTGTACTCAGGCTGTGTCGATTATTAGCTATTTGCTCGGGCGTTGCTTTGGGCAAGTGGGAGATTTACGTTAGGCTCATTTCTGGGGTCTGGTAGTCTAAATGGCACGGTGGCCTTAGTTCTTGTTTGTTGCAGGCCGACGGGAACTGCGAAAGGACGGAGGGCACCCCTCATAGACCGCGCGGGCCTTGCGATAACGCTGGCGACTTGCATTGTCGAGTATATGATGTAAAAATGTATGAGGTTCGCGGTGAGGGGGCGAAAAAGTTCGTGATACCGGAATAAGGATGATTCGCAAGCACGACAAGCCGTTCCTCTGAAGCTGATTGAGATACTGAAGATATACCACCTCCCATACTTTCGCCGTCTGAGAGCTCTATTTGATAGCAATAATGCCGGCCATGCTCCCGACTGTCGTCAAGTGCCATTGACCAATCACGTCTAAGATCGATGTCATTCCGTGCGTGATGCCGAGATCGGACGGGGCGGATCTCCGAGCGGGGTGCTCGACGGGCACCCAGCCGATATCTTTACATGCAGCCTCCCCGCCGTGCGGCGCGTGTGTTACATTTCCCCGCAAACACCGGGGGCTGGGATCTTGAATCAGCTCCGGCGTCTTGTGACGCCCGATTACACGCCGATGATAGCCATCGTATCGTGAGCCGGCTTCATGTCACCGGGTGCCAGCGAAGGACCGCTTGCTCAGCCGCCGATGTACCAACTTGTTACTAAGTATCTGTCATACTTGCGCTCTTGATCTGTACAAAACTTGCAGATAAATTTGATTAACTAGGTAAAATGTGTTCCAGCCGTATAATTCCTAGTCACATGAGTGCACCAACTGTAGAGTTCGTCTTAAGTTGAACGGTCTTGTTGGTGTTGTTTGGCTGGTCTTGGGTATCGATTTCATGAAATGCGGATCCGTAGAGGTGTTCGCAGATAAGTAGGACATTGCCCACGTCCCGTGAGATGAACCGCCTGAAGCATATCCGACCTGCGAACGCCAGATTCTCGACCAATGACACACACAGAGGCCAAGAAGGGCGCGGCACACGACCCTTGCCCTCTCCTGGGTCAGTTGACAGGGGACCTCACAGCCGGGGCCTTCTCCGCAATTTTGATCTCCCCGGCCGTCACGATACTAGATCGGTAAGACACACAGATCATGGACCCTGAAATCTTTGACTAACAAAAAGCAAGGGCGGTGGTGGAGAGAACCTCGACCGGACGGCCCCTCATCCGAGGTCTCCGCTCCCAGCTATCGTCCGCTCTCCGCCACCCACGGGCCTTCTTCCTGGGCAAGCCGCTGGGCATAGTCTGGACCCTGTACGCAGCGACTTACGTCACAGCAAACGCCGCGACGACGCTGGCGGAGAGATACGACGGAGCCGCAGCCGTGAGCACGGCGACCTTCGCGTCCACGTTCCTCGTCAACGTACCCCTCGGCGTGTGGAAGGACCTCCGCTTCGCAGAGATCTTTGGGTCCGCCGCTGCTTCCGGGGCGACGGCTGTGTCGACGACGCCGCGAGTGCTCCCGAGGGCCGCGACGGCGACGTTCCTGGTGAGAGATGCCGTGACCATCTTTGGGTCGTTTACGCTCCCGACGTGGGTATCGGCTGGTATCCCGGACAGCGTGACGGCTTCTCCACATGCCAAGGCGACTATCACGCAGCTGACCGTGCCGGTGATGTCTCAGCTGGTAGCGTCTCCAATACACTTGATTGCGTTGGACTACTATGAGAGGCAGGGGAAGATGCCATTCTCCAACCGGGTTGCGAAAACGAAGGAGCATGTGCCATCGACGATAGTCATGCGGTGCATCAGGATCATTCCTGCATTCAGTATTGGCTGCGTGGCCAACTTAGAGTTTAGGTCTTTTTTCCATAATTGGATAGGTTCAATGGCACAATAGAATATGCATTTCTTGGCTACACGAGATCGAAGGAACAAATCAAGTTGACGACATGTGGATGGGAAGGCGATGCCATTGCTGTTTGGGCTAGAAGGTTACATCTCTCGACCATGCTTTGCGCAGGAGATGATCAAAATAAAATTTTCAAAGATGTTTCAATTTAGCATCGATTCTATATCTCTATGAACGCCTTGTGTCGTTGAGGTGAGGTGTTGTCTCCATCAATCGAGCTATGGTGACAGCCTCTCTGAGCGCCTTGCCAATGTGACCTCTAACTGCTCCCTCCTCCAAGACCATCAGGCCTCCAATTGTGCATCCTTCAGGTGAAGTGCCCTGGTCTCTAAGCAAAGACGGGTGAAGGCCGTTTTGCATCAAAGTTGCACTTCCTAGCATGGATTGAAAGATCATGGTAGAGGCCAGGTTTCTAGGCACGCCCACCGCAACCGCAGCATCAATCATCGCGTCACAAATGACGCCCCAGAAAGCGGGCGTTGACCCTCCAACAGCCGTCGTAGCGTTCATCAACTTAGGAGCGATCTTCACCGCCTTTCCGATCTTTTCGAAAATGGCCTCCGTGAGCTCCATGTAGGGGGCTGGGACCGGAGGGTCCGAGATCTCGATTGCGGTGAGGGACTGAGAGACCATGGCGGCAATGTTGGGAAGGGTTCGCACAACCCAGGCTCGACCCTCGGTGTTATCGGCCGTTGTCTCGCCTCCGTACAGAGTCGACTCCAGCTTCCCTCTCGTCCACCCAGCAGCAACACTGATCAGGAGCTTGTCCTTCAATGCATCCGCTGTGCCCGGCTGGGAGAGAACAGACTCCACGTCGCCGGGGTCTACACCAAGAATGACGACTTGAGATGCTTTCAAGGCAGCAATATTGTCACCCCTCGTGACCTTGAGTTTGTCTCCCGCATCGGGAAATTTGCCCTTCAGAGCACTCTCTGATTGCTCACTTCGAACACAAGCAATGAACTTGGTGATGGGGAGCGTGTAATTCTCGCTCTTTGAGGCGTCAAACAGCGCCTTGAGAATTGGAATTCCAAGATTCCCTAATGTATCTACATCAGTGACTGGTATACCGCTTCTTGGGGATTTAGACTTACCGCAGCCCAAGATGCAAAGGGTGAGGTCTTTCAATTCCGCCATGATTGTCGGTAGTTGCTGTGCCAAATTTGTGATTGATGATGGCTCAGCGAGCAGTTTGACCAGAGTCACAGTAGTAACAAAACGCAAGGATCAAACTTCAAATCCTCGCCTACGCATCGAGATTTGAGTTTTGTCGTTCACGACTATCACAAGCCACACTAACTTCCCCTCATCAGAGGCAACACACTCGGGAGCCTCCCGGCTCAAGGATGTGGGGTAAGTGGAGAAGCAACGGGAGCACTCCCGGTCGTGCTACACAATTCAAAGATAGCATTCCAAAGATAGTCACAAGGCAGCAGTGATCCACTTGATCTGTCGAAAATCTCCGATTAACGAAAAAAGAGGGACATATCTTTTTATCTCTAGCCAACAGGCCGAGACCGGAACGATCTAGATCGCAACCGTCTGCCCAGCTCCGCCTTGAGCGCGGCATACTCGTCCACCGTCCTCGAAACCGCATCCCTGTTCTCCACCGCTCTCCGCAAAAGATACGCCACGCACTCTCCCATGGTCCCCCACGTCGAGCACTTCCACACCTGCGGCGACGGGTCCTGGCCGTCCTTCAGCTGCAGCAACGCAAAGCTGACTTCATCCGACATGCCCTGGAGCTGCGCGAAACCGACCGGCACCGTCGGGAGGTTATCCTTCATTCTTTGTTGGTGCAGCTTGTGGGCCGTGACGACGCTGTGCTTGTTGTGGCTGGCGAGGAACAGGTTCAGAGACGGGAACGGCTTGCCTCCCGGTGCACCGTACTCCCCAATCTGCCGCCTAAGGGCTCCCTGGGCAATCATGTTGTAGGCGTCATCTGTGTCCTGCTTCGTATCGTGGATCAGGGACCGCTCATCCGAGCCGATGTAGGCGCCTCTGACAAGCTTCAGGCCAAGGGTGAAGCCTTCGTTGTTTGCGAGCTCGAGATGCTTGGCGAGGGTCGCCGGGGTGCTCTTCAGGTATGCTTGGTAGGTCTGGTAGATGGTTGCGTAGCCGTCGCGGTTGTACTTGCGCATCAGTTCGAGACCAGCTCTGAAGATGCCCCACTGGAACTTTTGAGACTCGGCGTCGAGCAGAAGACGGATGCCCCTCTCCTTGCAGCGGATGGAGACCTCGTCAAGAGCATCCATCATCTGCTGAGGAGGCAGTTCATCTGCTGCAAAAGCGGCCGTTACTCTCGGTCCACCACCAGTAAGTCTGTTTTCGCAATGTTAGCTGTCCTGTTTCGAAAGAGTAAAATTCAGAAGGTGATGGGAACTCACTTTAACGCCAGCTGATCACCCTCGCCGAGCAAGTCCACCGTCTCCAACGCTCCTTTCCTCCATACTTCAATGTTGGAGCAGTTCCCTGACTTTGCGTCCTTTTCCGCATCGATACCGAGACCGTGCTCGGTGTTGGTCTTGTGATCAAAAACAGTTTCTTTCGCATATGTGAGAATTGTGCCGCGGAAGCCCATAAATCTCAGATGCCGCATAGTGTCCTTTGTCTCTGCTGGTGACTCTCCTGCACAGAATTGTCTGTAGAAGAGCGTCTTCAGGACGGAGTGTAGTACGGGGTTTCGGTCGACATCAAACAGGAGGCTTCTGTTTGGTCTTGTGAGGAAGGAAAGAACTGATAGAGATGGACCAAGGAGGTATGGCTTGGAGGATATCGCAGAGACCAGCAGTGATCTCAAAAGGACTGGTGTTGGGAGGGCTGATAGTGTGGCGGGCTTGCTTGGGGAGAGTGTCTTCTCAGCAACTAGAGAGGTGGCAGAGGCATGTCTTACCCTCATGGGGGTCAAGACTGGTCTCCTTGAGAAGGCAATAGAGGCATGGCGGTTGGAACGAGTCCATGTGTTGATAAGTGGTGCGCGGGAAGACATCTCAAAGACAAACTCTCGCTGATAATTTGGGTATACTGACTAGACTTGCAACTTCTTGGTTCAAAGAAGGTGCGCCTTCTTTATCATACAGTGTATCGTGACAACCTGACAAACCAGCCATCCGATTCGGAACTCCTCTTCCATTACGAACACATGATCACTACCCCCCCTTCTCTTACACGTCCGCCGGTACCCAATGCGTATACTGACTGATCCAGGAAACTCGAGCCTTGACCAGGGCGGTAGTTGGGCTGCCAGCTTATCGATACCCCGCTCTTTAACGCGGGGTAAGATAGCCCATCTGTCTTGGGTCTTCGTATCACAAGATAGGGGTGCATGCAGCATGATGCCAAACGCTGAGCTGAGATCTAGACCCCCAAAACCAATCGGCCCCTAAATCCGATGGTCTTGAGTGTGGGGTAGGTTGGCGTTTGGGTGTGGCCGGTAGCGCCTCCGTTGGTGCTGGGCACGACCGGGAGACGAGACCGACGAGTATCTGGAAGTATCTCCCGTTGTCAGTTGACTCGGATCTGAGATACTGCAAGCGGCGCAGCAGCAGGGTCCAAGGCTTATCTCGATCCTTCCGTGACGAATTCAGTAAAGGAAGGGATGGCTCTGTTGTTGTTTAGTCACGAATATCACTTAGACCGGGCCGGCATAGAGACTATAGTTCGATGCATGATTCAGTGTGTATGAACATGGTCCGTTCCGACAACGGCGACTGACAGGGGTTTCGAGTTGATAAGCCATGCCTCTGAGTTGGTTTTCTAAGGCATTCTCTTACCACCTCTGGTTGCCTGGCCTACTTCTGAATTTGTCTTGTCCTCTGCATACCTCTTGTACACATCAATGTAGGCGTCTCTGTCGCTCAGCGTGTCTTTGATGGTTTGTTTCCCTTCAACAGCATCATACCATTGGCGCCAGCGCTTCCAAACCGCATCATCTTCGCCACCCTTTCCTTCGTGTGGCAGTTCAAGCCCACCGGGCTTGTAGTGGTCAAACAGAAACAAACGCATCGCCCATGGTACCAGCATAATGTCGACGAGACCAAACGTCTTCCCCAAAAACCAAGGACCTTCAGGGTCAAGCTCCTTAGCGAAAGTTTTGAGATGACCCAGGAACTCGCTGCGGGCTTCGTCGATGGTGAACTCCTTCTCAGGAGTATGCTGGATGAACTTGTAGAAGGCTGGCACAATGCGCGAGTTGATGTGATCGATCCACAATCGGCATCTCGCCCGTTCGTACGGCTCCTCCGGAAGAAGATGCGGTCCGTAGTTGTTGCCCGCATAAGCCTCTTCTAGGTACTCGCAGAGAACCGTGCTGTCGTACAGCGGCTTCTGCTCGTTGCCCTTCACGTCAACCGGGACAGCCAGAGTCGGAACGAGCCCACGCGGGTTCAATCTGAGGAATTCTGGGTCTTTCTTGTAAGGGTTGATCTCGATGTACTGGTATGGAATTTGCTTCTCATGCAGCACAATCCACGTGCGCTGCACAAATGGGCAGAACCAGCCAGCGTAGAGTTTCAGTGCATGTTCGTCTGAATGCTTGGCGACGAGTCGGGCGGCTGCACCTGTGGCGTTCGGGTAGATTGATGTGTCAACGCTCGGCATTTTACCTGATGCTCTGTTCAGACTGCGTTATCAGTTGAGATCCGGTGATGTCTATGAAAAGTTCCGTCAACATGTAATGAAGAGGAGTTGGTTATGGTGTATGACGTGACACCAATCATGACGTGATGGTGATTTGGCAGCGCCGAGTTAGTGGGGGGCCGAGCGGCAGCTGTCGGTCCAGTGTCGGCTCCGACCGATGCAGTCTGATCCACTATCGCCTAAATAGCACAGCTCTTTGTATAATCAAAAGACTTGCCGTCCGTGACAAATTGTTGTCGAAAGATGGTTACTAACAGCAATAGCAGAACAACTAGTAGTAGTAATTACAGCTCAATATGAGAGCTAGCTACAACAGTACCTAAGCCTAGGTATTTAATTGAAGTACACCCAGGGCGATGCTGCCTAACGCAATGCCTATGTAACTGCTCGCCTATTAACTGATGTAATTTGGCTTACTAGACTCAGTTGACTGGTACAACTTCGTCATTGTCTATCTTCTGCGCAACTTGAGTGTATCTCCATCGGCTGAAGTACGCCGGTGTCTTGCCCTCTCCGCCATTGTTCGTTGCATATGCTCCGACGATTGTGCCTATAGTAAAAAGGATTAGTATAGCAACCGTGAAAATCCGAACCAGAAGCAGCTGTACTCACCAGTGAATGGACCGCTACCTCCAGAGACGATCAAACCGCTTGCAGATCCGATTTGAACGTACTCTTCGGGCTTAGAGATTGGAGCAGCTCCGAAAACGTACTCAGAGTCGCTAACAGCCGATGCGAATAGACGCACCGGATCAGACCGCCAGGCTTTTGGAACTGGGAGAACTACCTCCTCTGGCACGGTGATGTTGGGCTTTCCGAATGCTTCGACACGGAATCTGAAGTGCGGAGCCAAAGTTGTGTTGGAGCAACCTGGCAAGTTGACGATTCCAAGATCAATGTGCTGAACCTGGGTCAGGAACACCGTGACGCCTGCCTCTTCCTCTTCGACCTCCGGCTTGAAGTCAACATCGACGGTGTAGTTGAACAACGTGGCACTCTGTTTGCGTGCGATGAAGCCGAGGCCATCCTCTTGAGGATTGAAGTCTGGTGTCCCCGAAAGATTGACGGGCGAAGGCGATATTTCAAGTGTATGCGGATGTCCATCGGGAGAAATGGCAAATAGGGACTCTTTGGGAGGGCGCCAGAAGACGAAATGCCTGGGGATATCTGAGCCGGGTGCGAAGTCGACAACATCGGGCTCGTCTGCCCAATGTCCATCCCCTGGGATATTCTTGTTTGTTGGAGGTAGTGGTCCAGTCATCGTGCCTCGCACCCTGTCCAAGACTGGCCACTCGCCCTCGTCCCAAGTGACGGCGAAAAGGACTGTCTCTCGCCCCATAGGATAGATCTCCCATGCTGGTCCAGATCTAGTGGCAAGAGCAACGCCCCACCAGTTTCCAGACGCATCCTGGAACAGGTCGGCATGTCCAACCGTTTGGAAATACTCGTCTGTGTTTTTGGCAGTGAGGATCGGGTTACCTTCAAAACCTTCATAAGGCCCTCCGATCTCCTTTCCGCGAGCAATAGTGACGGAGTGATTTGTCTCTGTACCGCCCTCTCCGATCAAGAGGTAATAGTAGCCATCTTTGCTGTACAAATGAGGTCCTTCCGGATTACGGTCTCCAGTTCCATTCCAGACCTTGAGTGGTTCCGTCGCAGAGCCTGTCGTGAGATCAATCTCGCTAATGTAGATTCCCGCAGCAACGGACATATACACCTTGCCAGAATCCCAACAGATGTCTGGATCGATGTCGTTTGCCGGATTCTCGATGTGAAGGGGACCAGTCCAAGCGGAGTCGTCGTACGGGTCCTTCGTCGTGAACAAGAGAATCTTCGGCCCCCAGCCTTCAAACCACGAGACGTATGATGTGATCAGGTAAAAGGTTCCCTCATGATATCTAATGGTTGACGCCCAGATGCCCTCTGACTGGCCCGAGTTTTTGTACAGGTCCGGCAGCTGATTCGCCTTCGTCAAAGCGTTGCTCGCATGCTTCCAGTTGACCAAGTCTTTGCTTGCGTAGACGGGCACACCAGGGAAGGCCAAGAAAGACGACGTCGTACAGAAAAAGGTATTATCCAGCTCTTTGACGAAAGTGCAACTGGGATCCGAGTTCCAACCGGGCAAGATTGGATTGTGGAAGGTCTGGTTGACCTCCGCCTGGCCGTGAGTCGCCAGCGTGACTACGAACAGCCCTGCGAGGCTGGAGAATCGCATTGAGTTGAGATTGGAAACGTAGGCCGTGGAATCTATGTTTTCAATCCTACTTATTAAGTGTCTTTTCAAAACCTAGCGATCTCTGCATTATCCGTCATTTAAATACGGTACTTATCTTACCATGGTCCATTGAGTCGCTCCAATGAGACGCTGGATAAGCCGCTCAAAGTACCGCTTGTCGGTTATCTTTCTAAGTACATACGAAACCGAGAACGAGACAAGAAGATATTCCGCCAATTCCACCGCCAGACCGGCAAAACTTCGACGGCAGTTCATGGTTGGCGAGCGGGGTTGTAGGTGAAATGGTCGAAAAATCGATCGCACTCATTTGCGTTTGCCTTACCTGAAACCCCTGTTAGTGTGCGATTTATTGCCCCTCTACGCTACTTTTTACTATTAATAATAATACTATTAACGTTAATTAATATGTTTTTTAATACGATTTAGGCTTTTTAATACTATTTAGAGTATAATATAGGTATAATATTATAATACTAAAGTAGGATAATAATAATCCTACTTCTATATAATTAGTATAGTTATTAAAACTAATAGTATTATATAAAAGTAAGAATATCTCTTTTAAACTAAGATTTATACTAATAAAACTAATAATATAAAAATCCTTTTTACTTATTTTAGTTCTCTAAGAAGAAAATTATAAAAGAGAGCTTATATTATATTAACTTTAATCTAACTTAAAATATATTATTTTTAATAAAATAGCTATAATAAAAAGCTTTTAGCTAATTATAAAAAGGATAGTAAAGTTCTCTATTAGCTTTAAGAGAAGTAAAACTAGCTTAATTAATAGGAAGTATAATAATAATTAGAACTCTTAAAGTAAAGTAAATATAAAAAGAAAAAGGTTTTATATTAATAGTAGTATATATAAACCTATAATTATAGTTATTACTTAATAGCTTTAGCTATAAATAAACTTTATAGATAAATAATATAACTTATTAATACTAAAAATAATAGAGGATAGTATTAATAAAATTAAAGAGATATTTATAAAATAACTAAAAGTTAATAATATTAAAGCTATTATTAAGCTTATAATTAAAACTTCTATTAAGCTACTAATTAATCTTATTACTAAAGAGGATAACTTATTTAATAAGTATTTTTTACTACTTCTATTATAATTATTACTATTATTATTACTTTTTATAGAGATTTAAGTCTATATAGAGATTAAGATTATTAAGAATAAAATTAAGATATAACTAAACCTTAAACTTAGAGAGTTAAACCTAAGTAACTTCTACTTAGTAGTTAACTATATTATATATAATATAATTTAAGACTTTAACTATAAATATAAGTTATAGTATAGTAATTACTCCTTTAAGTTTCTCTCTACTTAAGTCTCTTTTACTTCTAAGTTAAACTATTAAATAGTATTCTTAAAAGAGATATTCTATATAAACTTAGAAAATATTAAAGTATTATAATTATAGCTATTTAATTATTAGTAATAGCTTACTAATACTATCTCTAATAATAATAAGAAGAATAAGCTATTATAAATTAAAATTCTTATTAACGCTATAATAAAAGAACTTAATTAATATATATTAGTCTCTATAAGCTACTATTATAAGTCTTAATAGTTATTTTTAGTACTATTTAGTATAAGTTCTATTTAAATAAACCTCTCTATTAGAGTAATATTAATTTAAAACTCTATTAAAACGCTTTTATAACTAAATATTACTTTATAAACTTTATAATAGAATAATAACTTTATTAAGCCTCTTCTTATTAAGCTTAGTAATATTAGTAAGCTATTATATTAATAGAAATAATAAAGTAACTTATTATTAATTAGTAAGTTAAAATAGAAGTTAACTTAAAATATTTATTAAGCAATCTAAGCTATATATAGATATAAGTTAGGAGTTAAGTATATTAATAACTATAATAATATTACTAATAATTATTATATATCTTAACTTTTTACTTTAATAAGGCTACTATTATATCTTTAGATTAGTAAAATATACTTTATAGCTTAAGTAGAAACTATAGCTAAAGGATTAATAATTATTAATAAAGCTTTAGAAGAGATTATTATAGATATAACCTTATATTATAATAAATACTTTATTAAGACTAAATTTAAACTATAGAGTGAGATTATATTAAAGTTAAGAAGTAGTAGAAGTAGTAGAAGTAGTAGAAATAGTACTAATAAGTTTAATCTACTTCTTTACTTAAATATTATAAACTAAGTAAATATTTTATTACTACTACTATATTATAACTATATACTATTAAATTTTCCCTTTTATAATTATATTTCTACTTAGTTATTATTATTAATATTACTACTAATAAAGCTATTATTAATACTACTATAAGCTAAGAAGTAGGATTTACTAATTTTATCCTTCTTACTACTTATTCCTTAGATTAAGCTTATATTATAACTTCTCTATAAATATCTATAGTATCTATAGAGAATAGAAGAGATAAGAGATAATAAATAAGATATTAATCTCTATATTACTCTTAATATTATCCTATAAGCTTATTTTTAACTTAAATCTTTCTAAAAAGTATTAATAAATTAGTTTAAAAAGAATAATATCTTTATAAGTATTATAGAGGTAATTAGAAACTAAATTAAGTAGTTCTTACTTAAGTAGTATATTATAGATTTAATAGTAGAAGATAGTTTATATTTATTATTTTATATTATTAAAAACTAATTAATTTTTAAATAGAAAATATAATACTTCTTATTAATATTACTAAATAAGATCCTCTTATTAAATAAGATCTTCTTACTAAAATAATTAATTATATTTACTCTCTTATTATATCTCTTATTTAATTACTTAATAATAATAATAATAATAAGCTTTAATAAGTAGAATAAAGTTTTTTCTTACTTCTTTATAATAATATAAAGATCTTAATTTTAATAACTAATAGTAATTTATCTAATAAATAGGATATACCTCTAATATTATAGCTAAAGAGAAATATATTATAATTAAAGCGTTATAAAGCTAATTAATTATTAAGATTAAATTATTTTTTTTATATTAATATTATATTATTTTAAGCAAAAGAGGCCCTTAATAGTATTAAAATTAAATATAATTATAACTATAAAATTAACTTTATAATAAGCTCTCCTCTCTATTAGCATTTTTAACTATTTTAATATAAATACTATAGTAATAAAAGTGATTTAAAATAATATTAGTATTATTAGCTACTTTAAAAGTATAGTTATAAAAGAAATTAGTAAAGAAAGTATCTATTACCTTAAGTTATTTAAATTATATAAATTACCTCTATAAGTAACTTTTAAGGTCTTTAAAAAACACTTTAATAGAGTTAAAGTCTAATAAGTATATAAGTAAGTATAATAACTTAATATTATACTATTAATAAGCTTCTTCTAATAATCTCTTATTATACTATACTATATTATCTATAACTAATACTAACTTTAAGCTAAGAAATACCTCTATTTTTAGTAGTATAAAGTTCTTAATCTAAAATAAGAAGCTATTAGTATCTATATATCTAAGATAAATAATATAATTAAGAAGACTATTAATAGTAAGGGCTAATAAGATATAATACTATATATTTCTTTTTAGAACACTCTATTTTAATAGCTTTATACTTTTTAACGCTTAGCCTATATATCTAGCATTACTTTAATAATTAACGCTACTCTTATTAATAAAAATAAATATATTAGTAGTATAATTATAAATTAATATAATATATACCTCTTATATAGCTTAGTTTTATTACTAAGTAATATACTAAATCTTCTTCTTTTTCTACTAAATCTTTTTAAAGTAATAAGAGATTACTAATATAGATATAAATAAATTAAACTCTTCTATAAGAAAAACCTAAACTTTATTAAAATAGTAGTTAGTTTTATTATATAAGAGCTTAAAAATTACTTTCTTATAGATTAGTAATTTCTTATAATACTTAGAACCTATTAATTAATATAGTTTTAGTATATCTCTAAATACCTCTTATTATTAATAATAAATCTAAACTATTATAATATTATATTTAATAAATTTTATAATTACTTTATTATTAAAGTAGTAAATAGATAATAACTCTTTTAGCTAAGCTTATTATTTACTACTTAATAACTTTAGTATTATTTACTCTATAATATTAATATAATTTTAATTAAATATAGTACTAATAAAGAGAATAAATAATAAGAGGGCTATATTATATATACTTTATATTTTTAGATAGGTTTAGTAATAAGATCTTTAGTATTAATATAATTAAAGTACTTTACTACTAAGAGATAGAATATAGTTATATAAATATTATACTATAAAAAGAGGCTTATTAATAATATTAATAGTTAATTTATATTTAGATTTTATAATAATATATATTAATTTACTAATAATACTAATAAGATAGATAATAATAATATTATAAGTCTTAAATTAATATATTTAGTAATAGTTTTACTTACTTTAACGTTCTAAGATATATACTTAAGAAGAGTTAACTTTATAAAAATAAGTAGAGTATTAATTTATAGATTCTAGTAAAAGAAAGCTCTTCTAAAGTTATTAATAATTAATTTATATAATAATTCATAATAATTAGCGTTAATTAACGCGTTTTTAGCGTTAGTATATACGAATAGGTAAAAGTAGTATAGAGAGGTAATAAATCGCGCACTGATAGGGGTTTCAGGTAAGGCAAACGCAAATGAGTGCGAAACCCCGCATTCACCCCCGGAAAACCCGCCGGATGGCGTGCCGCTGGACCGTCGCGTACCGGAATGCCACCCAATGACCTCATCCGTCGCACTTAATGTCCGCGTACTCGGATCTAAACAAGCTTCGAGTATTTATGGAGACTCGCATTTTCGACGAAGAGGTTGTATGTACAGTAACCGACAAACCCATTGTCGGTCCTGTTCAGACCAGGCTTAATGAGAGCACCAATCAACCCAAAGTTTCAAACTGAGTTGTTTGCCGTCTCATCGAAGCGACCCTTTGAGCCTTATAAACATGCCCTGCCCAATCGCTGTGAATAAGCGATTCAATTGTGTCAACGCAATGACCATAGTTGAAGGGTTGCCTTCTCATGATCAGACTCTTGAGTGCTATACTGCCTAGAGCCTTTCTCCGCTGAAAGCACACCATCGTCTGATCTCCCACGCGTTGATCGGGACTGTCCGCTATTGCGTCTTGCAGTGTTGGGATAGAGACAGCCAGGCTGGTCTTAGGCATGACTCTCATCTTTGCAAAGGTTCTGAGTTAGCTGATGGACATTTTCGCCTTCTTCAATCCTTCAACATAATTATGCTTGGCTTTTTGTTTTCATTCACAAACTCTGCATACTCCTCATGCAGTGTTCATAGTGCAAAACAGTCAATGCTGTTCACCGATCGTGTTTCATTACACTAACTCAATGATGATGATCGACGAGGTTACACGAATCAGCCGTGGGCCAATCATATGCCTGTCTATTGATACGTCTCTATCTCATGCACATCTGAATCAACAAACACTTCTCAATTGGAAGCGAGTGAATGCACTCTAATAACGGCGGATGCAGCCTATCACGGGCGAGAGATTTGCAAGTAACGTTCTAAGTGCCTTTTGTTTGCTGCCAGCCGGTTAAACAAGGTATGACGCGTCCGAATCCCATGAACCAGTAAGCTGTCAGGCGATGACACCTGCGTCTTGGAATGTGGAAGAAATCCCTGGGAAGTGCTCAAAACCTCGCTCACCGCTCCATTGACACGCGCAAGCCGCTTAATTTGCCACTGAATCGAATGCTTTGCCGCTTCCCAAGAGGATGTCCTGTCTAGGAGTCTTCATATCGATAACTCTAGAAATCTCATTTGATTAGCGGCGGTGAAGGTCATGATCTCGCTGCGACGTTGATGATGCTGTCCACAATATCATCGTCAAAATCGCATGTGGCTCATCAATCGTCATACAACATGCTGGCGACTCAGGTCCCACAAATCCGTGTTCGCTTTGAACTGCCAAGGATGACCTAGCTGCTGCCCTGCGTAAATTGCAGCCACGCTGCGAGGCTCGTAACGGCGGCACTTGCTGGAAGAGTGCGACGTACGTGCGGAGAAATGCCACGGGATCTACCATCCGAGCTCGTCCCGCGTTTTAATATGGTTCCTGCATGCATGAATGTTAGTAAATCGACGGACGGGATTGGTCCGGAGTGACTGAATACACCGAAACGCCCATCCCAAGAGCCTATACTCCCTGTGCATTGAGCAGTCCATCCCATCTACAGACGAATTAGGTGCAGTTCCGGGAGGCAGAGGTGTGTTTGTTGGGAGACTTGGGCGAACACGCGTTCGCTATATAATTTCTCGAGAGTTTTCACCTTCATCACCATTCAGGCGGGGTCGCTACACATTACACACTGATACTCACGATGTTGAAGGCAGCCGATCTCACGGGCGCGCTCGCGGAGCACTACGTACCGATCTTGAAAATCATTCTTGTCACAGTAAGTGACGCAATCGGGTGGCATTGAGAGGCTGATGGGCGAGCTCTCTAACCAGCTGTTGACAGGCTGTCCTTTGGCAATTGCTTCAGGCAGGATACAACGTTTTCTTTCATCCCCTCCGCGACTATCCTGGACCTCTACTGCAGCGTGCTAGTTCTTTGCCCTGGGCGTTCCAAAATGCCATCGGAAAACAGGCTTTTCTCACTCAAAAGCTGCATGACCGGTACGGGCCCGTCGTTCGGATCAGCCCGAACCACCTGTCCTTCACACAGCCAGATGCGTGGAAGGAGATTTACGGTTTCCAACCCAGCAGCAAAGGATCAACTGAGATGAACAAATCCAAAATCTTTTCAGAGACTGTGGAAGAACTGCCCAAAAGCATCATCAATGCCGATCGAGAGGAGCACCAGCGATTGCGACGAGCGCTGGCTCACGGCTTCTCGGACGCCTCCATGAGAGAACAGGAGGGCATGATTATCAAGTACATTGACAAACTGTCTGATAGACTGAAAGAGTTCGCCGACGATGGAACAAGCCCTCAGAACATGGCGGGCTGGTATAACTGGACAACCTTCGACGTTGCGGGCGACCTCATCTTCGGGCAATCATTCCAATGTCTCGAACGCGCTGACTATCATCCTTGGGTGGCCTTCATTTTCGGAGCGATCCGCTTCGGCTCAGTCATGACTTCCGTAAAGTACATAGGCTTGAACTTTGTTGTGCAGGCCTTATTCAAGATGGGTGGAATGAAGGCTATGAGCCAAGTGAGGGAGAACACCGACGAAATGATGCAGAACAGAATGAGCATGACTGACGATCGGAATGATTTGTTCGAGGGACTTTTGAAGAGGCGAAAGGAGTGGGTAAGTGTTATTCAGGCCCGCTGATTACATGAGACAGAAGCTGACCAATTACTTACCCAAAGAACCTGTCTTTCGACCAACTCTCTGCGAACGCACTCATTCTGGTCCTAGCAGGCTCAGAGACAACCGCGACCACTCTGTCAGGCACCACATATCTCCTACTCACCCATCCAGAAGTATACGAGAAGCTCAAGAAGGAAGTCCGATCTGCCTTCAAAGATTCAAGCGAGATCAACATTGGCTCAGTCAGCAAGCTGTCGTACATGTTAGCGGTACTCAACGAGTCACTCAGGCTCTATCCACCGGTGACCTCAGGTATCATCCGAGAGGCGCCAGAGGGCGGGTGTCGAATTGGTGGACAACACATCCCTGAGGGCGTAAGAAATCCAAACCCGAATCGAAATCATAGACGACTAACGATAGACAGACACTTGTTGAGATCCAACAGTGGTCCTCAAACCACAGCCCCGATAACTGGCCAGATCCATGGAAGTTTGATCCTGAGCGCTTTTTGGAGAGTGAGAAGACAAATGTGAACCGTCTTGACTCTCTGCAGGCGTTTAGCGTGGGACCTCGCAACTGTATTGGCCGCAAGTAAGTGTCCCTCTGCAACCTCGAACGTAGTGCTATTGCTGAAGTTTGTGTAGTTTGGCATATTCCGAAATGAGAATGGTTCTAGCCAGGGTTATCTTTGACTTCGATATGGCTTTAGCCCCAGGAAACGGAGATTGGATCAAGCGGCAGAGAGCTTATGGACTCTGGGATCGGGTCCCTCTCAACGTGTACCTGAAGCCGGTCGCGCGTTGAGAGAGATTCTCGCTGGAATCACGAAAGGAAAGAAAAGATTCTTGAGAAGAGACTGGGAGAGTTGCGCTTCTTTCTACATGAGACTAGTAAGCTTCAAAAGTGAATTTGGTACACCGCAAACTCCAAAGAATATGTCTAATGCGCGTGATGTTCCCCTGCGCCATCCCAAAAGAACGAGGCCGCGTCCGTGTTGAGGAGCACGTTCCCATCGAAACCCTCAAACCCAGCGTTATGAAGCCCGGGAAATAAGGTAGAGTCTGCTGTGGCGGTTGGAAACGACTCCGGAAAGGATTCCGCCTTGCTTGCTGGGAAGTTGCCACTGCCCCGAAGCCTCTCGATCACAACTGGTGTCTCGATGCTCTGGCCAACGTTGCGGAACGCCAGCTCGCGTCTTTGCCATCCAGCCAACAAGTTCTCCGCTCGCTGCACGTTCTCCCGCTTGCTGAGATCATAGAGCTCCGCGTGGTAAAAGTAGACTCTGTCGATGGCTTTCCACGCCCTATCGACCAAAGTTCCCACCGGCTGCCACTGCAACAACTCGATCATGACAGAAAATGCGTCTGCTTGGAGGTGAAGTTTGGGGTACCACCGGAACCGGTCGTCGATTGTATCGTACCAGTTTAGGTCACTCTCGAAGTGGATGACCCAGAGCCTGAATAATGATTGCTGGCCAGCTAGGCTATCCGCGTCCTCCTTCCAGGGTTCTCGAGCGTGGGCTATCATGTCGCGCATCCGCTGGGCTACGAGAGGTCGAAGTTTGCAGGCCAAGACGTGTATCCCTCCAATGGTTGGGTTACAATATCGCTTCTCGGCCACGATGAGTCGTTCTTCGAGCTGGTCTACTATCACACGGTACTTGTCCAGGGATTGCGGCCCCTCGATAGCCTTTGATCTATCCGCATTCAGATCTCCCTGGCCCAAGACGACCGATTCGAATTCCGGGACGGGGTTCTCGCAGAAGAAATGCCGCGATTCGTACAGCATTAGGCAGAATGCCATTTCAGTGGCGCCTTCTCGGGACCTCAAAGGCTCTAAGGACCCAGGCAGAAGGTCCGCGTCGTTGAGATTACTCGGGAGCTTCGTGTCCCAATTTGGCGGCAGTAGAGTATCGCAGAATCCTGCGAGAACAGCGTATTTGGTTTCGAGCATGATGATTTGCCACCATATCCGTCTGCGCATCTCGGTCTCGAAGGGTGTAAGGCTGATTAGCTCTCCGTCGCGATGAAGTCCCATTCTCTGGGCTATCCTGACGAGCATCCCTGTCAGGATCCATGACGCGTGGCGATCGAACTGTCCCTGGAGCGATACCTAGTGCGATGTCAATGGGAAGGATTCTTGCCTCATCCTCAGGACTCTTACCAAGTATAAGACTAGACATTGTAATATGGTAAGGTTGTATTTACGGAGAAAGTCGACTTTAGATACTGCCTTTTTCAGAGCAAGGTTGGCTTTCCTTAGAGCTGCGTTCTTCGGAACGTTCAGAATCTGTTCAGACTCGGCCTCGGATAAAGCCATGATTGCTAGGACGTTAATAGAACAGAGTAGGGCCTCAAAGTCAGGGGCCACATTGCCGTGATCTGTTGCAGCCTCGAATACGAGCGGTTCTAAACTGGGAACGTGAATGACTTTAGTCATCGGATTCACCCGTTCCAAGAAGACCTGCCATAGGCGAAGCATCTCAACCGCGCCGAGGGCCAGGATGTCAAAGTCCATGGACTCCCGGCTGTCTAGGCTGCCATCCTCAGTAGTGTTAGCTACTGAGGGGGTGTTCGAGGCGCCAGTACTCTCATCGGGTTGATCATTGAGACTGAGCTTCGAGAATTGCAACTGTGAATGCATGAGACTTGCGCGATTCATCCCTTGACAGACGAGAACTCACATGGTCAACGACATTAGAACGGAGGGGGCTGTCCATAAACGTGCGACGTCCCTCATCGACAACAATCTTGCCAGTGGGCCTCTGGTCCGGCTGCTTGCGAGCTTCCTCGTAGCTCACGTACGACATCATCGACGGACTATCCGCCGCCGCCGCCGACGCCGTCGTCATTACATCGCGGAACGCTGGGGGCGTCTCGCTCGTGAATGGGCGTCCTTCCACATCGCGCGGCGCGACCTGGCTCAGAAGCGACTCGCACTGATTGAGTCTCTCCAATAAGTCCTTAACTACGCGTCTCCTACCCGCTCCCGCGGGCGCCCGCGTGGAGGGAATACACGGTTGGTCGGCCTAGGGGGAAAAACACCATCTCGCATCAGCACACTGGATCCGGCTCCATCGGCAGGACTGCCCGCTGACAAACCTTGATGCAGTTGGCGCAGGGGGACTTTCGGTCGCACTTGATTTTGCGCTGATGGCAGAAAACGCAGGCCAAGACGTGCGGGCCCTTTCCGGGTGTCGCGTTGCTGTTTTGTCGCGAGACTGGGCTTTCGGATGCCATGAACGCTGGTTCCTTTTTTTGCTTGTGTATTTTCCCTTTTGAGACTGCTTTTCTCAATCTTTCTTGACTGTGTTGATGTGACCTTTTCTCGTCCGTTTTTTTGTCGAGACGGACTTTCGCACTCTCAAACGATCCGGACGAATGACGTTGCACTGCGATTTGTGCATCTTTCGGAGTAAATTGGGCAGGGGTCAGGCGACTTGTGCAGATTATCCTCTTTTTTGTGGGATTCGCTAGCCCTGATTCGACAATTAGAGGGGCGGAAGATCCTTGGCAACGGACGGGATGGGAGGTTACATTGCGGAATTTGAGAGTTGTGCACGATTTGTGATCATGTTGTACAGCGGGCAGAAATGTCGAGTCACGCTACGAGCTATCGTGATTGATTCAGGAAAACGAAAAGGGAATTGCAGCGGAAGAAAGATGCATTGGCTAAGTAATACAAAACAAATTCGTTAATCAGATCCATGTGGAAGATGCGGAGAATATTTGGGGTATCGACAACTGAAATACATGCTCATCGTAGACGGTGCGGACTTTTCACCCCTCACTTGTCCATATTTATAGGTCCCCCTTGAGAGAAGTCATACTCTGCAGAAAGTCCCTGATAGAACATGGGATCCAAGTCCGGCAGAAAGTAGCTAAAAATTCCCATCACGTCCGTTCCCATCAATGCGCCGGGTGAGACTTGATCAAGGCCGTTGTCGAAGGAAAAGTCCGCAAAGCTTGACGGCATGGTCATCGCAGTGGTCGTGAAAGCGTCGCCAGGCATGGTCTATAACCCAGTTTTAGTCAGAAAGGATTCATCAAAAAATACCCTACAATGTGACTCACATTTGATAGGTCCAGCGTCATTTCCATGGGTTTCATGTTATTCCTGCTGGACGGCGGTCTGGTGAGAGGTGTGCCCAAGTCTTGCGCCGCCGTGGATGAGCGCGCGAGGCCAGATATTCTGATGTCGCCATGTTGAATCTCATTCACGTAGTCCCTCGCGATCTTGGCGAATTCGGCGATGAGCGAGCCTGGCAGGGTCCCGCCACTTGCGTATTCGATTCTGCTGAAGTGACCAGCAGCCATGTCGAGCAGAGCTAGGTTAGAAGCCACTTCCGGTTGGCGCGGGTCGTGAACGACGATGTCAAACAATACGAAAAGTGCCGTTATCGGAATTCCCGCAATAACCCTGCAGTCCACAGTCAGCAATCTGATCAAAGGAGGATCGAGCTTGCCTACCAAGTCACCGTGTACGGCTCGACTTCAATCATAGTCGTCAACTCCAAGATAGACCGAGATGCCCCGAGAATTGCTTTCATGTTGGAGTTCTTCCTCGCCAAGACCGACGCATCCTCTGTACTTTGGAGATATACCAAGGTTGTTCTCGACAATGTCAGTAAAAGGCTGCTGTATAGGTAGTGAACTATCAGAGAGAGAGCTCTGGCCAAGGGTGTCAGGAGAACCTGTGGGCGGACAAGCCCATCCGGCTTGAATCCGTTGTCAGGCAACGAGGACCTCCATTCTTCCAGCTCATCTGTCAGCTGGCTAATAACATCGAGGTAGTACGAGTTGGAGTTGCCCGAAACGCCTACTGAGAAAAGCGAGGTGTACGCGCGTGATAATAGGCGTCCGAATCGTATGAAATGCAAGAACCAGTTGAAGTCACCCACCGTTGCCTCAGGGACAAGGGGAATAGGACAGAAGATGTCGCTGTCAACGAAGCTCTGTCGAGAGTCAGCATGTATCAGTTGTTCTAGAAATACACACTTACCGAACTCCTTCCAAAGTGAAAACTGGTAATCTTCTCAATGGTGTACAAAATCCAGAAGGCCTTCTGATACGCGACAGCAGCTGTCCCTGTGAAGTTGTTGGTCGACATGATCTGGGCTCGTCTTGCTGCTTCGGACATGATAACCGGTTCCACGGCCAGTCCACAGATGCCCAACCCGTAAACTGACATTGCCGTCAAAGCTTGTAGTATGGTGAGTGAATCGGGAAGAAGCAGAAGGTCTGAGAAGCCGCCGAGGGCGACCGAGAACAGCCTCCACGATTCGCCCTTTCCTGCCTCGAATGTTCCGCCATCCGCATACTGTGATCCCAGTGCAAGAATGGTGTGATACAGACATGACCAGGGCTTGCTTCGCTCGAGAAGTGTGAGGAAGTTGGGCCCATTCACTGTCGCCTCAAACAGCGCCTTATCTAGAAAGGGGAACACAGGGTGCACGCGCTCGAAGTACACTGGCGAAAATCAGCCTTCTGCTCTCATATCTATACTGAAAGATCTTACTTCGGATGTACAAGGATGTTTTGGTACTGTCCGTGACCGACTCAGGCTGTGGCATTCGGCGGGTGTTGGCGGTCGAGTCAGCCCGCCTTAATCGGCCATTGACGATCGTCGATATCCTGCCAACAAGTTCATTGACCTTATTGTTGCGTAGTCGAGTTGAAAGCGAAAGTAGTCTGCTGTCTGAGAAGAAGGTCAAGCTGTTGCGGCCACCTGTTGAAGTTAGTGACGACTGGCTTCGTGATTGATCCTTGAATGTTGTTTGTACCGAAAATGCCGTTGCGCTAGAATCGGTTCAGTACGTGGTCGCGAAAGAAGGGCGATGTTACATACAGGCACAAAGACTAAGTCTTCCGAGTTCTTGCTGTTGGCTGTCGGCGGCCGCCGTGCTCTCGTGAGAGCCCGGTCGACGTACAGCTCTTGAATGCGATGTGGAGGAGATTTTGGCGGCGGCGAGCCTAAAGGAGATGAAACTGACTTATGTTCACCAGTGGTGGCAGTCGAGAGATCAAGGACTGCCTTCGCATCGGGGGCAGCTGGGGCTTGTTGCCCGACCGTAGAGTAGTTTGTTGGCAAGAGTTGGCCCGCAACTACGGGAAAACAGTCAGCATGGAGACCCAACGCCAAGCGACGTTTTCAACAACGATAATCATCAAAATCATCTCGATGATATAGTGAAGGAGAAATCGAAAGACTTACCATTTCGTCTGTGAGCAAGTCTTCTCACGCTGAAACGGCAATCTGCTTTCCGTCGCTTCCCGGTTCAATGAGTGTCAGCAAGCAAGATTCAGGAAACACGCATGACTACAGTGTAATTACCACACAGTTTGCACAAGGACCCGGTGGCCCAGAGCCTGCCAAAAAAATGTTAGCACAAGATCTTCCAGTCGAGCTACACCCTTTGGTGCAGTGAGAGTCGGCCGAGGAAACATACTGGGGCAGCGGACCTTGCGCGCCTTGCAGGCATCACAGGACTTGTGGATTCGGGCACCCGCAGCGGGGCTGGGGCTAGATTCAGGCCTGTCAGCCATGCTCGGCCGACCTTTTCAGACAACCCGTAAGTAGCCAAAAACAGTAAACAGAATGTGTAAGAACTCGGCGACGAGGATGGACTGGCGAAGAACCGCAAACACAAAGCTGGGAGCTCTGATGTTTTTTGGTTTAAGGGGGTGGAGCTCGTCTGAAGGTTCGGCCCTCTTCGTGGAGCGGTGATGGTGTGGTGCTCGGCGCCGAACTGCCGCATTCGGTAAGCCCGGGCGCCCGGCGGTGTCAATAAAACCGTTGGGCGGGCCCCCTGATCATCGCGCCAACATCGCGTCTGGACGAATGGGCGAGGCTCCGGTGGGTGCTATCTGCGGCTCAAGATCTTTCGGAGCCGAGCTGTCTTGTTTGGCAAACGTGGGCTGCATGTCGGAGAGTTTTTGCAGGCTTTCAGGCAACTTGGAGGCATGTTCGACTCGCACACCAGGCACATGTATCGTCAGCTCGGGCGAGGTGATGGTGATATGGCTCGGTATCAAGATTGGCGAAGTTACGAGACCCTGTATTTTCCTCGTGGCATGCATCAATGGCGTCTCCAATGTGTCAAGAAACAATTTCACATGCTCGTAAATATCTCTTACCCTTGCTTATGGTGGTGGGAGTTGAAGGTACTAATGCGAACCCTGCGCTACTTCTGTCAGATTCCTCTGCGGATGACCTTTTCTTTCCCCAAGGCCTTTCTCCGTTAACTATTCATAATCTTCATATACTCCTTAGGTGGTCACGGAGGTTTCTCTGTGAGCCATCCTGGTCACATTCAAAAATTTGCCAGTACGGCAGTCAAAGAGGTGTCCCCAAAGGCAACAAACTGTAAAAGCCGATATAAGGGAAAGGTCGAATTTCTCAATCCTCCAAGCTGTCTTCTTTCCACTCATTTCAGAAACTCTTGCCGAAGGTTCACAGACATCCACAGTCATGGACCAACACCTAGCCAGTCCTCATATGGACGTTAGGTCAGCGTCATCCAACGACACTCTCCGTGAGAAGACGATTCAAGAACAACACCATCAAAGTGACGAGACAGACCTCGAGGTCAGCGATGATGGTGTCAACGAGCTCGTCCGCGGCTACAGCTTAGAGCTTGTCCGCACGTCCACCCGTCCGAACAGCTCCTTCGTCAACCCCTTCCTTTCCAAGGATCCTTCTCTCGACCCCAGCAGCCGCGAGCATTTCAACGCCAAGAAGTGGACCCGATCCCTGCTCCAGCACTCTGACCACGACCCCGAAAAGTTTCCCAGATTAGAAGCTGGCGTCGCGTGGCGCAACTTGAGCGTCCATGGCTTTGGTACCGACACGGACTACCAGAAAGATGTTCTGAACGTCTTGCTCCAAGGCCCCATGATGATCAAGCAGTTCTTCAGCAACAGGAGGCAGAAAATTGACATTTTGAGGGAGTTTGATGGTATTGTCAAGAGTGGTGAGATGCTTCTGGTTTTGGGACGACCAGGAAGCGGAGTTTCGACGCTCCTCAAGACCATCGCTGGAGAGACGAACGGCCTGCATCTTGAGTCGCACTCACACCTCAGCTATCAAGGTATGCTTTAATCTTTCCCACCCACTAACACAAAACTGACGATGGGTTTCCCAGGTATCCCGATGGAGACGATGCACAAGACATTCCGAGGCGAAGTCATCTACCAGGCCGAAACCGACATCCACTTCCCTCATATGACGGTTGGACAGACGCTTCTCTTTGCCGCCTTAGCCAGAACACCCAAGAAACGCCTTCCGGGTGTAAGTCGACAGAGATACGCCGAGCATCTCCGAGACGTCGTTATGGCAGTCTTTGGCATCTCTCACACCATCAACACTAAGGTCGGCAACGACTTTGTAAGAGGCGTTAGTGGTGGCGAGCGCAAGCGTGTGAGCATTGCAGAGGTCACCCTCAGCCAGAGCCCGATACAGTGTTGGGACAACAGCACCAGAGGCCTGGACAGTGCTACAGCTCTCGAATTTGCCAAAACACTGCGGTTGTCTACTAATGTCGCCAAGACATCAGCCGTCGTGGCCATGTATCAGGCTTCACAGCCTGCATACGATGTAAGTATTTGTATCTGAAAACCGGTGTCTAATATGATGATACTGACAACACGAAGGTGTTTGACAAGGTCTCTGTTCTCTACCAGGGCAGACAGATCTACTTCGGTCCTACGGAACTCGCCAAGCACTACTTCGTCGAAATGGGCTACGCCTGCCCCGACCGCCAGACCACCGCCGACTTCCTCACATCTCTCACCAACCCCGCCGAGCGGGCCGTCAGACCTGGCTTCGAGAATAGGGTGCCCAGAAGCCCAGACGAGTTTGCGACGGTGTGGAAGGGAAGCCAGCTGAGGGCTCGTTTGATGGAGGAGATCCACTCATTCGAGGAGCAGTATCCCATGGATGGCTCAGGCGTGAATAAGTTCTCTGAAGTTCGCAAGGCTCACAAGCAGTCTCTCACGTAAGTCCAACGCCGCTCCAAAGACCTACCAAGTGCTCATACTGATCTTCTGCCAGGTCCTCGAGGTCCCCGTACACCATCTCCGTGCCGATGCAAGTCTGGCTCTGCATGACGCGTGGGTATCAACGACTCTCTGGCGACAAGCTGTTCTTCTTTGTGACGGTACTCGGCAATCTTGTAATCTCGCTCGTGCTGGGCAGCATTTTCTTCGACTTGCCAGCGGATGCATCGAGCATGAACTCTCGTTGCATCCTCATCTTCTTCGCCATTCTGTTCAACGGGTTGAGCAGTGCTCTCGAGGTGAGACTTATGCACATAATCGCCATGAGCTGGACTTCCTGACACGCTATTAGATCCTCACACTTTACGTGCAGAGACCCATCGTCGAGAAGCACGCACGATACGCCCTCTACCACCCATTCTCGGAAGCCATCTCCTCTACAATCTGTGACCTTCCCAGCAAGATCCTCTCAACCCTCGCCTTCAACATTCCGCTCTACTTCATGGCCAAGCTCCGCCAGGAAGCAGACGCATTCTTCATCTTCCTGCTTTTTGGCTTCACCACCACCCTCTCCATGTCCATGATCCTGCGCACCATCGGCCAGACCTCGAGGACGATCCATCAAGCTCTGACGCCAGCCGCGGTCTTCATCCTGGCCTTGGTCATCTACACCGGCTTCATCCTCCCGACCAGCAGCATGAAGGGCTGGCTTCGTTGGATCAACTACATCAACCCCATCGCCTACGCTTTCGAGAGCCTGGTCGCGAACGAGTTCACTGGACGCCAATTCCCTTGCGCCGACTACGTGCCGGCCTATCCGAACGCGACACCGTCTCAGCGTGCTTGTGCTGTAGCTGGGGCCATGACGGGGGCTGACTTTGTTGATGGCGACTTTTACATGAATGCTCATTTCAGCTACTACAAGTCTCACATGTGGAGGTAAGCAAACCGTTTGAGCGGAATGTCAGTAGAACATCACTAACTTCAGGCTAGAAACTTCGGTATTCTCATTGGGTACATCATCTTCTTCTTCACTGTCTACCTCGTCGCAGCCGAGTTCATCACCACAAACCGCTCCAAGGGCGAAGTGCTGCTTTTCCGCAAGGGGCACAAGTCCACAACTCCCTCAAAGGCGGTGTCTGACGAGGAGACTGGGCGGTCTGATCGCGTGTATCGCAATGAGAAAGAGGTGGTTTCGTCCCTGCACCACCCTGCGACCAGACAACCGACTCGCCAACAGCACCAGGCGGTCTTCCACTGGAAGGATGTCTGCTACGACATCACGATCAAAGGAGAGGACCGACGCATTCTTTCGCACGTTGCAGGATGGGTCAAGCCTGGTACACTTACTGCATTGATGGTAAGAAGTTTTGATCATTGTGCGTCGAATATTGCTGACATTGCCTGTTAGGGATCTACTGGTGCTGGAAAGACCACCCTGCTTGATGTTTTGGCAAACCGAGTCACGATGGGCGTCGTTTCTGGAGACATGCTGGTAAACGGAATACCGAGAGATCAATCGTTCCAACGCAAGACGGGCTATGTCCAGCAACAGGACATCCACCTCGAGACATCGACAGTGCGTGAGGCACTGCAGTTCAGTGCAATGCTTCGACAACCTGCATCTATCAGTAAGCAGGAGAAGTACGCCTACGTCGAGGAGGTCATCGAGCTTTTGGAGATGGAGGCCTATGCGGATGCCATTGTCGGCGTTCCTGGCGAGGGTAAGATTTCCTCACCCTGCGTGTTCCAACATTTTGAAGACTAACTCGTCATGACAGGTCTCAACGTCGAACAACGAAAGCGTCTTACGATTGGTGTCGAGCTAGCCGCCAAACCAGACCTTCTCCTCTTCCTCGACGAACCCACCTCAGGCCTCGACAGCCAAACGGCCTGGTCCATCTCATCCCTCATCCGAAAGCTCTCCGAGAACGGCCAAGCAATCCTCTGCACCATTCACCAGCCTTCCGCCCTTCTCTTCCAGCAATTCGACCGTCTTCTTCTCTTAGCCCACGGCGGCAAAACGGTCTACTTTGGCGACATTGGTGAGAACTCCCGGACGCTCACAGGCTACTTTGAGCAGTACGGGGCCACCCCCTGCGGCCCGGACGAGAACCCCGCCGAGTGGATGCTGAAGGTCATCGGAGCGGCGCCGGGTGCCAAGGCGGAGCGGGATTGGCATCAGACGTGGAAGGATAGCGACGAGTCTGTCCAGGTGCAGCGGGAGCTCGCACGGCTGGAGAAGGAGTCGCCTGCGTCTGGATCTCTGGGGACTAGCGAAGAGATGTCGACTTACGCGACGCCGTTTTCTACGCAGTTGGCTATGTGCACCAGACGTGTGTTCCAGCAGTACTGGCGCACGCCTTCCTACATCTACTCGAAGTTGATTCTGTCAGGCGGAACAGTGAGTATTCCAATTACCCGATGCATCGACGCGATAGCTAACCACAATCACAGAGTCTCTTCATCGGTGTCTCATTCTACAAGGCAGAACTCACGATGCAAGGCCTCCAAAGCCAGATGTTCTCCATCTTCATGCTCCTAGTCGT